GCCGGCCGGGGTCGGGCCGCCTGGGCTGCGCAGCTGGGGAAGGGGCCTCTCGTGCGGGTTCGCATTTTCGGTGCTTCTGCCTCATGCATGACGCTGGCCTGCCAAGTGGGCATTCCGGGTAGTTTAATTTGTTGTTAATGCAGATGCGAACTTGCCCGATGTTTTAAATGCTGCATTTTAGAAGGCGAAGCTGCCGAAATGAGCCGATAAACGATTCGTCATTTTATTAAAAGCTGTGATTTTGCAACCGTGGTTTGGTGGCCACGTGCCCAAAGCTGCTTGTGCTGCGTACTTTTTGCCAAAAGGCACGTAGGAGGCCTGCCGAGTGCTTGTGGGGCTTTAGGAATTCAAGGAAGAGACGCTCTTTGCCTTTATCATTACGTAGATGCCTCTTTAGGAAAGGAAATAGTTTGTTGTGTTTTTAAAAATAAACAATTATACGCATGGTCATTGTACAAGAGCAGCAATAACAATCTATTGGACATTACAGGAGGAAAACTTGCCCTAGTAGCCTGCCCACCCCCCAAGGGTATTTAACATGTTTCTGATAGCCTCCCACACATTCACAGACATTTTTTTTTTAAATGGGATTATACGTCTCTCGTGATGCATGTATTTTCCTACTTTTGCATTAGTGCAAGACAGGTGATTATTTGAGGTGGTGAACACAATACAGTGTACAGATGATGTGTTGTGGAACTGTGCGCCTGAAACCTGTGTAATTTTGTTAACCAGTGCCACCCCAATACATTCAATAAAAATCAAAAAATAATAATAAAATAGACGCCCTTTGGATAAAAAAGAAAGAAAAGTTATTGTAAAGTAGAAGGTATTATAATTGTTTCAAGGTCCAAGAGTCATGAAGAATAACCTTTATAAAAACTTAGAGCTGTTGACTATCACACCTTCTGAAGTCTGTAACTTATACTTCATTCGTTGAGTAAAATTTAATTGATTGCCTGTTACATGGCAGGTGCTGCTTTAGGTGGATGCTTGGGATATATCAGAACAGACCGAAAACAAAACAAAATTTTAAAATCCTGTCTTGGTGGAACTAACATTCTATTGGGTGGAGATAGACAATAAACCACAAACCTAACACATGATTAAATTATGTTAGAAGATAAGTGCTATGGAAAGAATAGAGAAAGAGGGATCGAATGAGGCGAGTTGGCAGTTGTGGTGTGGGTCAAAATGTTAAATAATGGAATCAGAGTAGACCTCATTGAGAAGATGAGATTTGAGCCAAAAATTGAAAAAAGTCGGAGAATTAACCATATGAACATCAGGAGCAGGAACAGCCAGTACGAGGGAGAATGCCTGCCTGGCAAGTTTAGAACCAACAAGGGGACCGATATGTTATATGTTTAACGTTGGCGCAGGAGAGTAATTGGCCATGAGGTGTGAGGGGTGGGGGCGGGAGTGTGAGGACTGGCTCTCACTCCGATGGAAA